GCAGTAAGTATTTAGTGTATAAGTCAAAGAAAAACTAAAATATTTTGTAATTTTGGTCCAGTTTTTTAGATACACCAACTGCATAAATAACTTTGTAATACTATATAGGATTACAAAGTTACATTTGCAGTGGATGAATCAGTGTACCTGTAATTGTATAATATCATGTAATAATAGATGTAGATAGGTACCTAGATATAATTATGTTCTAAAGTAACTTGTAAAATGGTGAACGGAATAAAAAAGCAAGAATGAGACATGTCTTATGAAGTAACAAAATCGCGCAAAGTATTAAGTAGACTAAATTGCCCGAAAATCTGTAGTTGGTATTCAAGAATTAGATGGTACGAAAAGAAAAAAAGTAGGACTATCTACAAAAAGAAATGAGATGCCATCAAAAACATAACTTGTAAAAAAAGCCAAGTCTCGCAACTCAGTTCTTCTACCGTAAAAATTTGTGAGATCCATACCAAGTCGATGAATTTACTCAGTCCCTACTTAAGAGTCCTTCTGTCTCAAGTTATTAAATAGTTCATCATCATCGTCATTACAGCCCTTCACAAGTCCACTGCTGAACATAGGCCTCCCCCAGAGAATGCCACAAAGCACAGTCCCGAGCCACCTGCATCCATTGAGCTAATCTGAAAACATCTTATAGTGATAGTGATCATAACAATAATAAAAATCTTTTGTTTTAAATACATAGATTGACTTTTTAAGTAAAATTTAGAATTTTTTCTAAGTATAGCTGTTTTAAGATTATTATCAATATCTTTTAAAATATACGAATATTTCCAGACTGGAATCGAGCGGAGTAAGTATGTAAATCTAGGTGTAATTTATACATTTTATCCACGTGGTTTAAAAACTGATCAAATTTTGTTTTTAAAACAGGTTTAATACTATCGAAAAACAACGGCGCACATAGCAGGTATTTTATAATTATTAATGATTATTAATTAAATTTAACATACAAATGTCAGTTTCTTTTTTTTTAGAACTAAAGGCAAAAGGTAGGTATGTAACTTTTGCGTTTTATAATATATGTCATTGTTTTAAAAAGGTAAGACCTAGATCGTCGTCGTGATTTAATTTTTTTTTTATGTAAATCCGTTCAGTAGTTTTTGCGTAAATCATGATATACTCATGCGGTACCTTCAGGATCACCAGCTGATTAGTGACCGCCAATACGGTTTTCGTCGGGGTAGATCAGCTGGTGATCTTCTGGTCTACCTGACCCATAGATGGGCGGAGGCAGTAGAGTCCAAGGGGGAGGTGTTGGCCGTTAGTTTGGACATTGCGAAGGCCTTCGATCGGGTTTGGCACAAAGCGCTTCTTTCGAAGCTCCCTTCCTATGGGCTTCCCGAGAAATTGTGCAATTTGATCACCAGCTTCCTTGCAGATCGGAGCATCAAGGTCGTAGTAGACGGTGCATGCTTCGACTACAAGCCTATTAACGCTGGTGTTCCACAAGGCTGTGTGCTATCACCAACGCTGTTTCTTCTGTATATCAATGATATGTTGTTAACTGGTAACATTCGTCGTATCTCTTCAGTTTCAAGGCACTCCCCTTCTTGCCTCAGCCAGTATCGAAATTCTCGAAATCGACAAAGAGAAGGCCAAATTGGCCTCTAAAAAGCTCGGCGTGCTCAGCAGAGCGGGACAGTATTTCATGCCGGCACACCGCCTGCAACTTTACTAGGCGCAGGTTCGACCTCACATGGAATACTGTTCCCATCTCTGGGCAGGGGCTCCCCAGTGCCAGCTCCTTCCACTTGACCGCATCCAACGCAGAGCGGCTCGAATTGTCGACGACCGAGCCCTTTCCGATCGGCTCGATACATTGGCACAGCGAAGAGATGTTGCATCCCTTTGCATTTTCTTTCGCATCTACCATGGGGAGTGCTCTGAGGAATTGTTCGGATTAATCCCAGCCGCCAAATTTCACGAACGCACATCGCGGCAGAACTCCCGATACCATCCACACGATCTGGATGAATGGCGGTCCACCACTGTGCGATTTAGAAGATGTTTTCTTCCTCGCACGACCTCCTTGTGGAATCGATTACCATCAGCGATTTTTCCGGATCGATACGACTTAGAGACCTTCAAGAAAAGAGTCTACTCTTTTTTAAAAGGCCGGCAACGCATCTGCAATTCCCCTGGTTCCCCTGGTGTTGCAGTTGTTCATGGTCGGCGGTAGTCACTTACCATCAGGTGAGCCGCATGCTCGTTTGCCCCCTCTCCTATAAAAAAAATACACAGGCAGAAAGACCAGACAGAGACAATATTTCTAAAAACCACTAAGTTGGATTAAGCTAACTGATACTTTTGGACCTGTTTTTTTCGTCGGTTCTAATATTAATATGCTTCATTAATTATTTGCTTTCAATTAAAAAAAATGCAAAAAGTTCTCTGTCTTAATTATTTTTTTATATTTTAATATATGCGGTATCATCATTATCATTATTTATGATTATACTATGGAATATTAAGAACTTAAATTACTACGCGCAATCGTATTCGATCTATGACGACTTTGAGAGTCATTGAAATAATTATGTAATTGAATATATAATTATTTAAAATTCTATCTATCTCTTTATCTATCTACGAGGGCGGCACTGAAAATTTCGGGAATCAAGGAAGTGACACAACATTACTATTTAAAAATGTATTTATTGCTTTTCAAAGTATTCTCCGCAAAATTTGACACATTTTTCCATATGATGGAACCAATAATTGAAGCAACCATTCCATTCGGAAGTTGGGGTCTCCAAAATGGCCGTTTTGTAGGCGTCCACAGCTTCTTCAGGTGATGAAAATCTCTTTCCACGCAATTTATTCTTTATTTTAGGGAAAGTATAGAAATCATTATGGCTTAGATCGGGGCTGTACGGCGGATGGTCTAATAATTCTATGTTTTCTTGCTCTAAAAATTCTTTTGTTCTGTGTGCGGTGTGAGAACTCGCATTGTCGTGATGGAGGATGATGCGGCGGTTGCAGTTCTCTTTACGGAGTTCAGAAACAACCTGTGGCAAACAAATGCTAGCATACCATTCTGCATTAACCGTTCTTTGTCCCTCAAGAGGAATAGTCGTAACATGGCCGGTTTTGGAGACAAACGTGGCCACCATTTTTTTGCAACACTCCGTGAACGAACAATTTTTGTTAGCTTTAACTCATTTTCGAACACCCAAACTCGTGACTGGTTTTTTGTTTCGGATTCGTACGCGTATATCCAGGATTCGTCACCTGATACGATGTTGTATGTACAGCATTTGAGGATCCTGCGTGGAATCTTTCGAGAGTTCTGATGCACCAAGTAACGCGAGCCGTTTTTTGCTCTTCACAGAGCGTCTGCGGTATCCATCGGGAAAACAACTTTTTTACACCTAATTGTTCATGCAAGATTATTTGTATTTAACTCATGCCAATGTCTAAAGTTGCCTGAATGTCGCGGTATGTCACATGTCGATCTTCCTCAATCAGCTTACGCACAGCATCAACGTTTTCTTGGGTGACTGCAGTTTTTGGACGACCTTGACGGGGATCATCACTGAGCTTGACACGTCCGCGTTGAAATTCAGCAAACCAGCGATAAATTGTGGTTTTGGATGGGGCTTCATCACTAAATGCAGAAATCATCCGGTCAACACACTGTTTTTGTGTTAAACCACTTCGAAAGTCATAATAAATCATCGCTCTTGGATTTTCCCGAGTCAATTCCATTTTCTCAACGACTAAACAAGTCTGACAAAACCTTGTGACAAGACCGAGAATCTTTTTTTAAATAAATAAATGGTATTCGATTTTTAAAACCAAGAAGTTTTCAATTAAAAAGATTTTAATATGACACGAACAGTGGAAATATTCCATTCCCGATACTTTTAGTGCAGCCTATGTATCTATCTACATACATCTTTCTAGCGTTGCATTGTCTGCTTTCCTTGCTTCCGTGCATAGTGTCAGTGACTTATGTAACATAATTTTGAACAATAAAGTAGACCTGTGTTTTGCGAAAGTTTATCAACAAAAACAGTGGGATATTCCGTTGGTATAGAGCGTGCGTAGTTTCCATAGTGACCAAGATCAGGCCCGCCTTCTAGCTGTTTCGAATAATGAATCTAGTCACTGGTTACACGCTTTACCATCAAGTAATCTCAGCACATTATTTGATGGGGAAAGCTTGCGCTTCACCGAATCGGGATCCGACTAGGAGCGGCGATTTGTCAACCCCATCAGTGCCCCTGTAGTAGCAACGTCGATAAGTTTGGGCTCCAGGGACTTTCATGTGCTGGTAGGTTTTCACGGCACAGTTCTTTGCACGATGTCATCCGAATGGCTCTTGTCTCTATAAATGTTCCCTCGTGGAATATTTAGAGACGATAGCAAGAGACCCGACGGTATGACATTGGTCCCTTGGGAGAAATGAAAAGCCCTAGTGTTGGATACTACTTGCGTAGACACTCTGGCGGCCTCTCATCTCAAGGGTACCTCGTTTAGAGCCGGGTCGGCATCAGAGGCAGCTGAACTGAGTAAGTGGCGCAAGTATGAGTCTCACAGAGATGACTACATATTTGTGTCATTTTTGGTAAAAACTATCGGTCCGTGGGGTCCACGTGCGCCGAAGTTCCTAAAGGAACTCTATCCGCGACTTGTCGTTGGTGCTGGTGATAAGAGGACTGCTTCCTTTCTTGCTCAAAGGTTAAGTATAGTCATTTAGCGAGGAAGAGCAGTCAGCGTTCTTCGCACGATACCACGGGGAGTAGGGCTGTATGATAAATAAGTTATTAGTGTTTTTTTGTATTATAGACTTTTCATATTGTATATAATAAAATGTTGTATATTATGTTGTATGTATTTTATTTTTTTATTTCATCTGTGACTTAAATAGTGTTTTTTGTGTGTTTGATTCGTTTAACGGGATAGGATAAAAATTTAATAAAGAGTTTAATAGAAGATTTATTCTGGAAGTTTATATATTTAATACGTTTTCATTAACAAGAAAAATCTCCAGGGCCACGTTCACATAAGCTCGTGGGTGATGTGGTGTATTCTGGAATATAATAAATTTTTATTAAATCCGGTACACTTAGTATATTATAGACGAACAAATAGCCTTTTGACGTATGTCATGTCCAACAGTCCCCCAACTAAAAACTAGAAACGGCGTTAGAGTGGAAATCCAGCGAGACCAGAACGTCCAGCAGCAACCAGGAACGCAGAGTTGACTTAATATGAAATGAATCCAAAAATGCAGTAGAGCGAGGTACGAGAAAATGGAAGGAGTTCGTTCAGTTCCCTTTGCACCATCGGGTTGCCGCATGACTCACAAACGGGTTCAACATTCAAAAAAATTAAGGTGGAAGAGTTAAGGAAAAAAAATTACCCACCACACAGCACCAGAGCGTATAGGCGTACCACTTCAATTTAATTCTTGTAAATGGTTTTCCTGTATTTTAAATTCATAAAAATTTCATTCAAAAAAATTCAAGTCCAATTAATTTTAGTCGACTTGAGAAATTGAGGTTTACAATTCGACTGTATGTTTTTTTGTTTGGGATATATTTCTCAATTGTGACCTTGGTTTTGTGTGATTTTCATTTTTGTTAAATATCGTGGGAAATTCGCAAAAAAAATCTCCCCATAGATTGTCTCATAGGGACGATTTTGTCAACGTAGCCATGCTTGGCGGGCGGGTTGGGAGCCGCAGTTTTTTAAATATTTTGAGGTGTAAATGTTTTGAGGTGAGTAGAAAGATGCTGCACTCATCTTCTGGTTTGGTTTCTCGCAGTTACCTCTTATGACACCCATGGAACGTTATGGGGTATGTGGATATTCTTAAACCGCCACTTCATATAATAAATATAATATTTCTTGTTTTTATTTTTTAAATAGCAAGATTTTTATTCAATTTCCTTCTTTGAGTATAAACTATGCATTTTATTTATCTATTTTCATAAGAATAACAAAAATAGACTAAAACGTCGCATCCCAACCATCGTCAACCATCCCAGATTCTACGAAATTAAAAATCGTAACTCCGCATTTTTTAACTAATAAAATTCTTGCAAAATGTATTATGAGTCCAATATTTCTCGTTTCCCCTACATAATGTTACGCATTTCAAAGTTTTGTTGTGTTACGTTAAAGAATAGCATGTTAGTTTCATTAAAAATTATGTTATTTTCGTTAAAAAATATGACTCATTTCTAACCTAACTAATGAGCGTCATAATCATAGCAAGTTACAAGCAAACGTTTTTGTTTTTATATAAGAACAACTTAAATCTACTACTAAATGAAAGACAAGAGCCCATGAAATAATAAATTGGTTAACCGTCGATAATTGACTCATTAAATTTGGTCGAGTACAGTATTATGTCTTCAAATATTTCGTCCAGGCTCCAGGCTGATACCGTTCACAGAGACAAATTCTGTAGTGCGATTATGTAACTGAATTGAAAACCAAATATTTCGAAGTTATCATAGTGTTGTTGAGATTATACGGAAAACACTTTTTTTTAATAGTATTAAGATGACAAACGAGCACACAGTCTACCTGATGGTAAGTGGTTGCTGTGGCCCATAGACATCTATAATGTATGGTATTAATGTAGGAACTAACACAATTACTTGTACTTTTTCGTACTACATTCTGAAAACTGATAAACATACATAAATATATATTAAATATACTAACATAAATAAATAATACATAAATTATTATTATTATTATTATTTTATAGGATAAGGGAGACCAACGAGCACACAATCTGCTGTGGCCCATACACATCTACTTCTATCCCCGTTTGCGAATCAAAATGCAGATGCGTTGTCACCCGTGAAGGCTAAGATGGAATGCCTAGTTTCCAGTAAAAATGGTCTCCGGTTCTCTACACTCACCATACGAAACACAGCAGCTTAAGTTGCTATTTTACGCTGGTATTCTACACTTCCAACTTCTAACGTAAGAGTTAAAAAAATTTCAAATAAGTTTTTAATATAAAATATTCCTTCATTTGCTCTTAAGCAGTCACTGCTAATCAATGGCCTCTTTAAGGAAGAGAGGATAGCTCGTGATCGCCATGCTTCGCTGGTGGATTCACCAGCGAATGATGAGATGGCAATTACTGGAGTACCCGCTGTCACGCAGCTTCTACGAGTATGCTACTCTCCATCGACGGTTTTAATATTTTATATCGTAAATATACTAGATAATTTTTACCATCTATCGGAGTTCTTGTGATCATTTTTATTGGATCACTATCAGATGATACACAACATAAAGACAAAAATATAACTCAACACTGCGAGAATTACGTATTACGTGTTCATTTTTTTTACTGCAGAGCCGGAATAAATGTCGACACCGCCATAGGCTAGCACCTTATCGGCGCCCCCATATATTTTAATTATATCTACTTATTCTGCAATTTATTTAAATTTATAATATAGCTTAGTTGCAAGATAATTAGGACACGTAACAGGTGAATGAAAAATGTGAAAAGAGGATGAGGGCGATGAAGGAGTAATCAAGTAGACGGAGCGCTTTTTGGAAGCTCTATATCTATAGATATAGGAATCATGACTTTTTTTTATGCAACTAGGTATACTTATTTAATTTATATACGTTTCAAAAATTTCGCGTGCGCCTCTTTGTAACCTTGCGTCCTCCCGCCTTCCGCCTCTGTCATACTGGTAACCACAACTTACATAACAAAGATATTAATATTTAGCGAAGTAAGTTATAAAAAGAAGGAAAAAGATAATAATATGCTAATAAATATACAGTTACGCGGAAACCAGATTTGCTACCGGTTTATGGATTTAATGCTTAGAGATAATTTATAATATATAAATCTGCTACTTTTACTTATATGAGATATTTGATCAATGTTGACGGATTAAATACTTAAGTATTATGCCTATTTCTATGGATATTGACAATGGGTGACATCATTTTATTGCTTTTAGTCGATACTAGCAACCTATTCTTGATCTGTTTATTTTAAAACTAATGAATAAATGTACTAGATTTTATAAGAATTATAATATCCTTATTCAGATATCAGCGCGAGTTTCCATTTTAGTTAACCGTTATCAGTTATTAGTAATTAAAAGCCAGTGCTTGGCTATAATTCATGATGATAAAATCGCGCTGACTTAGCGTGGCAACAATCTATTCACTATTTCTTCTTGAAGTTTAAAATTAAGCGCCTGTATTTGGTATTAGCAATATAGTATCACTGCACAAGTTGCGTATTTTCCTTCTAAAGTATTTAGCTACACACGAATATAAATAATGAAATTAGTCATATAAGGTCAGTTTATGAGCTTCGTAGTGTAATAGTATGTTCGTGCTTTTCGTAGATTTTATGTTGACAGTATTTACCGCCATTAGCCCGTAAATAATCCTTTGAAAATTATGAATCTCCAAGGTAAGGTGAATTAATTACAGGTTGTATAGCCTAACTTACTCAAGGGGTCCTATTTTCTACTGAAAGTCAAAATAAAATTTTCTTCCTAACCACGAATATGCAGTATTCAGCTCTAGTATTTTTTTATTGCCGTTATGTTTTAGCCTATCTCCACTAATATTACCATAGTCGTACATTTCTCCTGTTTTACGTATCATGTAATTAAAAGGAGGTGGTTTCATGGTCTCGTGCAAATGTAATAATTTTGTCAAATTATCTCTTTGGGATAAGATATAGGATCATTTCACTGCTTTATTAACAAACGACGAAAACAGGGGGGTGTTATAAGTTTGTAGTGTTTATCTGTGTATCTGTGTGTATGTATATCTGTGTAAATGTGTATCCGGGCATCTGCGTATCTGAGTGTCTGTCTGTGGAATCATAGCTCCTGAACGGATGAACCGATTAGGAATAAGTTTTTTTCGTTTGAAAGGTGTTTTAATCGAAAGTATTCTTAGCTATATTCAAGAAAATCTATTGAACCGTTTGAAGATCAGCAGCTCTTTATGTTTCGGGGTTTTATAATTATTTTTTTAACTTAAGTATTAATTTGACAGACGTTTCAGTGTTTGTTAAGGTATCAGGTGAAAACGACTGAACAAACTATTACGCTGTTTTCAAATATCTAAATCCATATTAAAATAATAAATGTGATAAAAACCGAGCCTAACTAGAACTAGATTTATTCTAAACAAGATGATAAAAGTACGAAAAGGCAGTCAGTAACAATTAACGTACATTTGTCATTAATAAGTGGTAGAAATAGTATTTTATCGGACCCGTTATCAGATGATGCGAAAAAACTGTATTTGTTAGTTAATAAGAGATTAAGTAACTGGTAAGTATAATAAGTTTGTTGGTAATTATTATATTTAAGATTTTTTTGTAACTACCAGGGCGGCATAATCGCATCAGCGACATTTTACAAAACAATTTACGTCTTTTGTATACAGGGTTACTTTGCAATATACGCCCAAATATAATAAAGAGAAGATTTAGAATAAGTAACATAGGTAAATGGCGAAGAAAAATATATAAATTCAAAATGATTGTTATTCCTAAATATCTAACGCCTACTATTTTATTACTCACGCAGACACATTCGTATGGATAGTTCCGTTGACAAAAACGTTATAAATTGAAACGCACACAGAGGAGCGTGAGTACGCATAATTGTTGCCCAAAAATCACATTCAATTTGGGATAGTTTCAAATGAAAAAAAAAGCTTTATTATTCACCTATATTTTCAAAATCTACAATAACGGTATATCATTATTTTTATATTTGAACTTAAACATAAAATTTGGATACTCTGAAAAATAACCCTGTATATTCGAAATAAGCGATGGAACTATCATCCTCCCTTTGCATTGCAATTCCGTTAATAAATTAACTTATTCGTAAAGTTTACCCTAACGATATATTAAACAAATTACTAGATAGTCTCCTTTTCTGCCTAAAAGTCTGTCTGGATAAGTACTAGCCCCTTACCTATTTCTGACGCCATAAAGCTCTGCTTGCACTGATGTATTCTGGTCTCAAGGGCTTAGATAATCAGTATAATTTTACAGGCAATACCGTAACGTGTACTGTGTAACGGCGGTATGAGAATATCCACTACCCCATATCATCCCGTGGGTGTCTTAAGATGTTACAGAGGGAAACAAATCAGATGGACAGCAGTATGTTCCTAATAACGACTTAAAATTAAAAAAAAAACTGCGGTCCCAAACCCGCTGGCCAAGCGTGGCAACTATGGCAAATATTACACTTATAAGGCAATATGTGGCGGAGGCCTATGTTCAGCAGTGGACTTTAATAGGCTGTAATGGCCACTAGAGGCAATGAGGCATTCCATCAAAGTCCTCAGAGGTGATGACGTATCTCTAGTTTTCTTTATTTATCGTTGGGGACAGGTGCCCATGGACTGTAGCACCCACTTACGGTAAGGTGGACCGTAAGTTCTTTATCACCTCAGTATTATAAAAAAAAACTACACAGACCTACCGCTATTACTGATCATTAATAAATCTGCTCTTTAAAAATTTGATGCGACATCAATAAAATACTTTGCTGTCGACTCCGAACTATCCTGCGCACAAATTGAAGATAAAAGTTGGTGTTTCGATAATAGTGGTTATCAAAGGAGTGTCAAGACTCCTATTAAAAAAAATACTATTCCAAAGAGTGAATGAAAGAAAGTGACAAAGCAAATTTATGCATCAAGGGATGCCCTAGACGGAAGTTTATTAGCTAAATTTACGATATATTGAAGATGTATATTACGATATATGTAAAGGAAGTGAGATTTCAAGATCTTGCTAAATGGAGGTCCGTAATCTTTGCCTACTCCTTTGGATGACAGAATGTATGATGATAATACAAACTTTATTTATTACAGTTAATAATGTCAGTAAAAAATCTCCGCTATATAAATTTCCTAAGACTATAAAATAAGTCTACAAAATTCCATTATAGAACAAAGACAAAACCCTCGGCTTCCCCAAAGAGGTCACCAAAACGTAGCCAGTGGAGGGAGGCAACTGTGTCTACGAAAGGCTCATGTAGAGCCTTGTAGAGCCTCCCGTGGAGCTCCTTGTCCTTCCATACGGTCTCTCGGTCGGAAATGCTCTGTACTGCTGAGACTTGCCATTGCTCTGGCTTATATACAGGATACTTTATTTTTTTATTTTCTAATTGTTTTTAGGAAATCGCTGCTGGCCATCTTTTAGTTTCCTTCCTTTCGCCTGTTAAGACACCCACGGAAGTGGATATTCTTGTAACGCCACTACACGGTCATTTTATTACCAAAAAATCTAGAGAAGTTCAGCATTCTTGTTATAAAACGATATTATTATTTGATAGCCTTGGGCTTAAAGATCTCTTTTACCCGCGGTGTCACAGTTTTCGTGATATTTGACATTTACTATCATGACATTTGTAATGCATATTTTTCAAGGGAATTCTTTATTGAAAAAGACTGTGGTTGAAACTCTAGACTATCAATAAAGCACGTTTTGTAATAAGACTGATTATGTTAAAAATGTTTTTATGAAGGACCGTTTAGTTTCTTATGATTAAATTAATAAACTAATTAAAATGTACGACTTGTTAATACCCATGTGTTATACGCTATAAATTAATGTATAACATATTATATATTTGCCTGCATATCTAAACTTGAAACTGGGAAAATTAGATGCTATTCAGTGTTATAAGGGTCATACGTACCAGCGCCATAATCGCAATTGTATTCGAACATGTCGCACTGATCAAGGAAGTTGCGCCGACTGCATCCATCAGGTGTGGACGCACAGACTGGCCGCGAGTCGTGAATGCAGGCCATAGCCACGCTGCAGTAGTTAATAGGCTGCCGAATTGTATTAATGTACTCCTTGTACTTGGATATACGTATTTTTTATAGGATAGGGTGACAAATGAGCACACATTCCACCTGATGGTAAATGGTGTAAACCCATAGACATCCACATCTATCCTCAATAAAGAATCAAAATGCAGATGCGTTGTCACCCGTGAGGATTAACATGGAATGCCTCTTTTCCAGTAATAAGGCTCTCCAGTTCTCTACACTCACCTTACGAAACACATCGGTATTAAACTGCTATTTTACGCTGGTATTCTGTGAGGGCGTGGTCCTTCTGTGGCCGAGTCGACCCATTCGTGCTACAACTATACTACTAACATAGCTGCAGCATGGCTCTACCCGTAATAAATGTACGTACACTTAATTTTTACTACAACATTTTAAAAACCTTAATTTCTTTGTACACGTCATAATTATGTGGGTATGGGAAACATACTATAAATGGTATTTTAAATAATGAGGAGCTGCAACCATAACATAGCAACTACGTACACGTAAGTTCAGTTTTGCAGTACAAACCCTTAAATATTAGTAGAACAACAATTTTTTTTCTCCACCTGGATTACTACAGCGGCTGTTGTAACATAAGGTGGTGTGTCGTCACCTCTTCTCCTGTTTGGAAGAATTGAACAGCACGCTACACAAAGCGGAAAGAATGTTAGTATACCAGCAAAGGCAAATCGGGAGCCATTTGAGCTGCTTGCGAAATTCAGAGATGAGATCATATTTGTGGGCCCCAATCATATTTATCTAACACATAAATTTGATTGCGCTCAAGCTTATTAAGCTACTCCTCGGTAATGTCAAGACAGCAAATATCAATATAGTCAAGGATGAAGAGAAGAAGAGACTTAACAAGCGTACCTAACTTTAGTTACTGTGGGAAGAAAATTACTTAATCTACGTAAAGAGTTTAATGTAGCAAAATAATTTTTACTTACCTCATTAACGTGCGAGGTCCAAGACATACAAGAGTGAAGATACAACCCCGATAAGAGATTTGAGTGCAGTCTAGTTTAATAGGGGGTAGTCATGACCAGTAAATTTTTAGGGTTCCGTAGCCAAATGGCAAAAAAACGGAACCCTTATGGATTCGTCATGTCTGTCTGTCCGTCCGTATGTCACAGCCACTTTTTTACGAAACTATAAGAACTATGCTGTTGAAACTTGGTAAGTTGGTGTATTCTGTGAACCGCATTAAGATTTTCACACAAAAATAGAAAAAAAAAACAATAAATTTTGGGGGTTCCCCATACTTAGAACTGAAACTCAAAAACTTTTTTTCCATTAAACCCATACATGTGGGGTATCTATGGATAGGTCTTCAAAAATGATATTGAGGTTTCTTATATAATTTTTATCTAAACTAAACAGTTTGCGCGAGAGACACTTCCAAAGTGGTAAAATGTGTCCCCCCCCCCCCGTAACTTCTAAAATAACAGAATGATAAAACTAAAAAAATATATGATGTACATTGCCATGTAAACCTCCACCGAAAATTGGTTTGAACGATATCTAGTAAGTAGTTTGTTATCAAACGTCATAAATCGTAAATTATGTTACTTGCTGCTACAGAACCCTTCATGGGCGAGTCCGACTCGCACTTGGCCGCTTGTTTCAAATTAATCTAGAACTACCAATGCAAATTTTTTCTTTACTAAAGAAGCAGATTCGAAGCCAGTCAATAGTTAGGAGATACGTTAAGAGAGCGGAGGATGCCTAACAGATATCAAAATCAACAGTACTAAATGCATTATTAAGATCTAGCATTGTATCAATACTAGATTTTTGTAATGCATTCAAGGTTATGATTCTCCATATCATATCTAATATCATCGGTGATATGTAAAAGTGCAATAGCCAAAATCGGATTGCAAAGGATTTAAAACATTGTGTTTGAAAAGATAAGTAGGTTAGTTGATTGTACACGAGGCGTTCCAGAACTTAGGAAAGAAAAGGTAAAAGAAAAAAAGAAAAGCAAAAGGAACTGTTATACTAATATTTAAGGGTGTGTACTGCAAAACTAAGTTTACGTAGTAGCTATGTTACGGTTGAAGCACGAATAGGTTAGTTCAAACGCGTAGGACCACACTCTCACAGAATACCAGCGCAAAATGTTTCGTATTGTGAGTTAAGCGATTAGGAGACTCTTTTTACTGGAAATGAGGCATTCCATCTGAGTCCTTAGGGATGACAACGCATTTGCATGTGGATTCTTAATCGAGGATACACGTAGATGTTTATAGGCCACAGTATCCACTTACTATCAGGTGGGCTGTGTGCTCGTTTATTCTAAAAAAAATACTTACATCCTTAGCATTGAGGATATTAATTATAAGTTAATTAAAAACTATTCCAGAAAGCAATATTATAAGGTACAATAAACCATGTACGCCTGCAACTGATTACATATTCTTGTCAATGGAATCAATATTCTTCTATCAATATTCTAAGTTAGCTAACTTGTAACGTAATAGATATCATAAACCCATTTCCCGTCCTTACTGTTTCTTCGATAACTATTACACAAGCAGCATTATCAAACAAAAGCTGAAGGTAGCCTCAGTCCATCTAAGACCATGAGCTACAAAGCACCCGAAACGTTGAGAATAAAAAAGCTAAATTTAAAGCAGTAAAATATTTAGTATTCGTGTAAATATAGAAAACCATTAGCATAATCAAGTTTAAAACCCACCACTGCTATCACCAACTCGCGTATTGAGCGACATAGACGACATAATTATGGAAAAACCTCTCCCTCCTTATAGAATCTTGATATAAGGAAGTGGTATGGTTATTTAAAATTGTGATTTTCTACTTCAATGGTGCTGTTGGGTATTTCAGGATTATTCATTTCAGTTGGGGGTCATTGTAGAAGCGTGCTCGTCGCGACCCCTGCCAGCCCTTTTCAGGGCTGCAATTCTACTAGCTGTGCACCCATGCCAACGAGGGTTAGGGCGTCCCCCCAAGGCGACGCACACCAGCTCGTCCCCGTTGGTGTGGAATGCAGCGTGCAAAGCGGCGATGGGGACCGCCACCCGTCACGCACAGCCCGACACGGCGGAAGGCGGAGGACAGAGTGCAGAGTTGGCACGTGGAATGTTAGAGGAGGCATGAGAGATAAGACGAATGAGTTGATCGAAATAATGAAAGAAAGAGAATTAGATGTCGTGTGTATGTCGGAGACCAAACGGAAGGGCAGTGGTACTGAAGAGCTCCCTGGCGGGGCGTTAGCTCTATGGTCAGGAGTCCCGGAGAGCGAGAACGCCTGCCAGGGAGTGGGGGTGCTGCTGTCTTCTCGGTTGGTCGATGTTATGACTGAATATAAGGTTGTGAACTCAAGACTTCTCTGGGTTCGCTTTAAATTGGGACTGACGAAGTTATTCCTTTTGGCTGTTTATGCGCCGGTAGCTTCGTCGTCCAGGGCTGAGCTGGAGGAGTTTTGGGAGAATGTAAGAGAAGTTCTAGATTTGGCTAGGGGAAACGAAAGAATTGTTGTATGTGGTGATTTGAATGGATGGGTTGGTACCGCTCGACCAGGGTACGAGTCGGTACTTGGCAAGTTTGGCGATAAAAGGGTTAATGATGCTGGCAAGCTTATACTGGCGGTGTGCAAGGAAAAGGGTCTTCTTGTGACAAACACTATGTTTAATCACAAGAAAATCCATATGTATACTAGAGAACGAAAGAATGAGAGAAGTATGATTGATTTGTTCCTGGTGGATGACCGACTGCAAAAACAGGTGATGGATACGCGAGTGTTCAGGGGTGCTGACCTGGGAACGGATCACTATCTAGTGATTACTAGATTTAGGGGTCTGTTCGCGGGTTGGCGCTACCGGACGGCAGTAACAGAACCACAGTCGGTCTGTCGCATCCGAAGCTGGAAGCTTCAGGAAGCGGATACTAGGGACAAATATCATGCGAGGGTAGCCGAAAAGCTTGACACCATCGATGGCAGAAAAGAATGTGTAGAAAGAACTTGGCAGAACCTTAGGGATGGAATGGTAAGTGCAGCGGAAGAAGTGTGTGGAACAATAAAAAGAGGCAGTAGTAAAAGAAGAGATGCATGGTGGAATGATGAAGTGAAAGAAGCTGTAAAAAAGAAGAAGAAAGCATGGTTAGACTACTTGGCCTCTAGTAATGATAAGGATATGAGAGAGAAGATGAAAGAAAGATATAGGCTGCAGAAAGTTCACACGAAAGCATTGATTGAGGAAGTGCGTGAAAGGTGTAGAATGGAAGCGGACGAAAGGTTGTCGCACAACTTTAAGGAGAACTCCAAACTCTTCTGGAAAGAGGTTGGAAGGACCCGGAGTGGTGCGACGGCCTTAAGAATGAACAAAGTGCTTTCGAGAACTAATGACGTCCTCTCAAAAAAATCGGACGTCATGCAGCGATGGAGCGAATTTTATAGAGAAATGTATGCGTATGATGATCTTAGTGAGGGATCCGGGGATGACGCCGTGACTGGTACGCCAGACCCGGACCTCGATGACACTGAGGTCATCAGTATGAAAGAGATTGAACGTGCGATTCGAAGTTTGAAATGTGGTAAGGCTGCGGGACTAGACAGAGTTACTGCTGAAATGGTCAAGTATGGTGGGCCTCGCGTCTGGGACAGCTTTCATCTGCTGTGCAATTTGTGCTGGCGGACGGGGGATGTCCCGGATGATTGGCGATCCGCAGTCATTGTGCCTTTATATAAAGGTAAAGGTTCACATTTTGACTGCGGGTGCTATCGGGCGATCAGCTTGACCAGTTTAGCAAGTAAAGTTTACTCGAAGGTTTTGACACGTAGGATGCAAGAGAAATCGGAAAGATTTCTATGGGAGGCACAATGCGGATTTAGACCTGGAAGAGGATGCACGGATCAAATGTTTTCTCTCCGCATGATCACGGAGAAGCTTCTGGCTGCTAACCAGAAGATTTTCTGTGCTTTTGTGGATCTTGAGAAAGCATTTGATAAGGTTGTAAGGAAGAAAATGTGGGAACTGTTGCCGGGGTATGGTGTGGATGGTCGATTGCTAAGGGCTGTGCAGTCTCTTTACTGTGACTGTAAAGCCTGTGTGCGGGTAGGGCATGACCTGTCACCCATGTTTAACGTCCAAACGGGCGTAAAGCAGGGTTGTGTCATGTCTTCCTGGCTGTTCATACTGTATCTCGACAGCTGTTTACAGAAGCTGAAAGATAGTTGTTTGGGTGTGAAATTGGGTGACATTAAAGTAAATTGTCTGCTGTATGCTGATGATGCAGTGCTTATTGCACCATCAGAGGCAGAACTGCAGGCATTAGTCACGTGTATGAAAGAGGAATGTGAAATTAAAGGTCTCCGTTTGAATGCTAATAAAACTAAGGTTCTGGTATTTGAAAGGGACGAAGAGAGAACGAAGTGTGAAATATGGGTAAATCAGGAATGTCTAGAACAGGTAAATGAAATTGTATACTTGGGGAGTGCTTTTAGCCGGGATGGAAGATGTGATTTAGATGTGGACAGGCGTGTCGCTGCCGGGAACAAAGTCAATGGTGCCCTGACTGCGTTAGTCAAAAGGCAAGGCGTAGCGAAGAGTGCACGCCTTGCAATACATAACGCATTGTTGGTACCGACTTTGTTATATGGCAGCGAAACCTGGGTATGCCAGAAGAAGCATAAAAGTAAGTTGAATGCAGTGGAGATGCGATCTCTTCGTAAAATGTGCGGCGTTACCATGGCCGACCGAAAGCGAAACGAAGAGATTCGCAATATGGCAGGTTTGAAAGATGACCTTATCACAAAAATTGATAAGGGCGTGCTTCGGTGGTTTGGGCACGTTGAGCGAATGAGTGAAGACCGAATGGTGAAGAAAATATATAGCGCGAAAGTTAATATTAAAAGGTGTCGAGGTAGACCGAGACTAACTTTCGAAGACCATGTGAGCAAATTGCTCGAAGAGGGTAGGGTCAAAAGTACTCGGATACCTAGACGTGCATGCATGAAGAAGATAATGAATCTGAAAGAAGCGAAAGAGGTTTGTAAGGATCGTGACACTTGGCGATCTGTTCTCTCTGGCTACCCCGTCAGGGATTGTGCGTGAAGATAAGTAAGTAAGTAAGTAAGTATTCATTTCAGGGTATTTCGATATTATTCGTTTCGGGTGTTTTACAGCACTCATGTTCGAGACGGGACCTCAAAACCTGAAATATCTCGTATGATGTCCCATCGTAACGAAACGTCGGGAATTAAAAACAAGTAAATTAAACGCAATAAAATCTATAATAATACTTTGATTGAATTATGAGCTCTCCTTATTTTTCTATATCAGCCCGTAAAATTGTAATGGACATAGATTACCTCTGTTGTAGGGAGTATTTTTCTTAATCGTCATACTTGGGTGACGAAAATCACGACCTCACCAAGCGTGACTGTCAATGCCAAGTTTCTACATTTAAAAACGCTTGTTTTTCTTTTACGAGCCGTTTTGTAGATAATGAAATGCATTAAAACTATTTTTAAACCAAAATACTAGTTCAAATATTTATAAACCGTATATAGTTTTTTTTTCATTTTAAGTATCCTAAGTTTTTGAATGAACAGTTCGTAATACAACATGGTAGTATGCTGCAGCTATATTTTGGTTGTAGCGCGAATGGGTCGGGTCTACTGGGGTAGGACCACGCTCGCAGACCAGTGTAAAATAACAACTTAACACTGCTGTGTTTCGTATGGTGAGTGTAGAGAACCGGAGACCCTTTTTATTCGAAACGAGGCATTCCATCTTGGTCCTCAGGGGTGACAGCGCATCTGCATTTTGATTCTTAATCGAGGGTAAATGTAGATGTTTATGAGTCTCAGCATCCACTTACCATCAGGTGGACTGTGTGCAGGTTTGTCACCCATATTCTATTAAAAAAAAAACTGTTTTACATACACCCCGTATGTAGTATAACGGATATTTACGGAAAAAGGAACGGTTCTTGAATATAGGAATCGGGCATAAGTTAATACGATCGTAAACCAGTGGGCGTATCTTTGACGCTGCTGGCCGTCGCCAGTCTGGATATTTGACGTTTGACGTAAACGAAATCGTGATAGCCTAAGGATATACCGATCTATAGAATGCCATAACATTTTTCTGGCATTTCCCATAGCTGCCTCTTTCGACGACAACTACGGAATGAAATGGAATGATGAATGTCGGAACAATATGGAATGTCGGATGAATACGGAATGTCTTTTACGCTGCCACCGCACAATAATTAAAGTTCAATTCTTTTCAATTCTTTCCATCGGACAACCAGGCGGTCGGCGGATCTTCACCCCTTTGTTGTCGATATTTCACGCATTAGTACCAAAAGGTTTGCTTCGTCTTTTGTAATGCGTACAGCAAACGAGTGGAATAATTTGCCGGCGTCTTTCTTTCCGTCCGAATACAATCTGGGCGTCTTCAAGGCAAGAGTGAATAGGCTTTTGTTACGATAAAACAGTGCGATTTACCATCTAGGGCTGCATCACCACTTACCACCTGGTGGGATTGTGGTCAAGCACTGGCTTATAATAAGTAAAAAAAAAACTTACGGGAGTTAAGTGCTGTTCCGTCAATACTACGGCCATAAGTACTGAAATCAAATATCTCTATTACTACTTTAATCCAGATTTGATTTTAAAATATTGTAATATTTTACAAAACTTACTTAACACGAAAACATATAACATTGTAGCAACTATTGTAATACCTTCGTTCTACATTTTAAAACACAATTCGCAAATAAATATGGCGGCTCTAGCAAGACCTTATCGATATTGAGCAATAAACCAACTTACGTAAAATGTGAAGAAATCGAATAGCATTCTTCTACCATTCTACTAATATTAATCATAATAAACTGAGCCTAAAAGATTTGTAAAAGTTGCAATCTTTAGCAGCAGGGCACAGGCGACAGATAAATGAGAGTGTTTTCACGATGTTTTCCTCTATCACCGAGCTTAAATTGGCACTTAAAATTTAAATTAACAATTTTATCGGTACCAGTAGAAATTTTGTTTTATTGTTCGCGTAGTATAGAATTTATAACGGCTTATCTTGTGAACTACCACGGTTCCAAAGGTAAGTAAAAACAAGTAAAATGGTTGAACCATGATTTAAAGAACGATCACCGTTGGGATGAAAAGTTTTGCTAGCAAACGCAGTACAGAACGAACCTCCTCTAGATAAAATAATTATGTAATGAGACAACGAAATCGCATCGAAGCTGGTATTGGTTAAATTGGCAGACGAATGTGAGGAATCTAAATGAGATTGTCACTTGTGTCAAAAACTGGATCGTATATAACATTCGTCGTATTGGACAACACTAGGAGGGGAAAATAAATTATATCCCAAACGTAAATTGTCGTGGGCGAATGTCAAATGGAACTTTGAAGCTTGGCGTCCACTCATATCTTATACTATTTTATCGGAGAAGCCGACAACCTTGAACGTACCGAACTTGGCCCCCTTTTTACATTTATGTTTTATGGGATTAAATTTTCAGAAATAACCTTGTTTCAGTTTTAATTTAGGATTATCTCTTGTATTTGCATTTTTATCTCCTACAATTTAAAGCTATTAAAATATTTACATAAGAAATTAGTAAAATAAAATAAGCAAATAAGTATATTTGGAGTTGGTAAGCATAATATGAATGTCGGTAATATAATTTTACACATCATATTTTACGACAGCTGTTTAAATACATTGTCTTTGTTATTTAAAATTATGGCCAACAAAGGACACTTTTACAATGAAAACATACAAATATACATATTCTATTTTTTTTTGTATTTCATTGCGGTTCTTTTCAAATATTAAAACCTTGGTAGAACAACACAACAGCTATTTTGCTGAATGAACGAGCCGGCTCGATCGGGGACCTAGCTAGGAAGCTAATCTATACAAATAAATAAAATTGAAGTGTTTGTAATATCAAAATTACAGCGTTTTACTAAATGCATATGAAAGTATAAACGGTACTTATAACAAAAATACACTTTTTAAAATTTTTGTCTGTCTGTTTGTTTGTTCCGGCTAATTTCCGAAACGGCTGGACTGATTTTGACGGGACTTTCACTGGCAGATAGCTGATATCATAAGAAGTAACTTAGGCTACTTTTATTTTAGAAAATAATTAGGGTTCCTCGAAAAAAATTAAAACCCTAAATTACACGCGGGCTAAGTCGCGGGAACAGCTAGTCTTATATAAATCAGAATACAGCTCAGTGGTTCTATAGAATCGCCGAATTGGTAGGTCCACTGGGAATATGATACTCTGCGTATGAAATTTCCAAACAATAACATGAATCATTTAGGAGTTATCTTATAAATATACGGTCCCAGATTCATCATAACTCTCGTGATAAGAGATCCCTCGGATACAATACTTGCTACCAAGCCAAGCAAATACCAGCCAAGCCCGTTTTATATGTACTATACTACTGGAACTTGATTACTTCGTTGCTCTTGTGCTCGTAAGCGAGACTGTGATCATATAGTGATGGATAGCTCGTAAAGCCATTGGTTGTGCGCCTGAACTCTCTCTAGTCTCGTCGGATTGCTGTTCCAACGGACTATATTCCATCATCGGATAACCAAACGTTCGGATAGTCTTCAACCTTTTTATTGTCAACATACTGTCCTTTTTCGATCACGGCGGTCGGCCTCAACAGAGACTACTACTGCGCAGGATAGGATTATAGTGCGAGTGTATGCGCAAGCACAGGTGCACTCTCTATTTACTCACTCTCATAGTCCGATGGGACAGCAATCCGACACGACCTGAGCGAGATCAGGTGCAGGACCAACGGTTTTACATGTAAAATCATGTCTGGAAATCATGATTTCCGAGGTACAGCGGTGAAACACCGCCAACTTCCTGACTGAGAATTGGTTACAGAAAAACTCAATAACTGATATAAGTGCCAACATACAGCAATAGAGTGAATAAATTTGCCAGCGTCTGTCTATCGGTCCGGTTACAATGTAGGTGTTTTCAAGGCAATAGTTTATAGGCTTTTGTTACTTATGGTAACGTTAAGACAGTGCGGTTTACCATCTAGAGTTTAAATATACATACATTTAAATAAAATTAAAGTGTCTGTCTGTAATATCGAAATTAATAACTTTTGTCAATCTTGAGAGGCTATTTGCATGTCATTAAGACGTGATTAATCTTTCGTAAATTTTTGTGTGCCTGTCTGTCTGTCTGCTTTGGCTAATCTTTGGAATGCCTGATCCGATTGTGATAAAACTTGAACTTGAAAGATAGGCTATATTTTATCCAAAAAACTTGGAGTGTTTATTTTTGTGAAAACAAGAATTGATAAAATTGTGTTTTTTTTTTAAATATTAATGACACCACGTTAAAAGATCCCACTCAGGTAAAGCCGGGGCAGGTCCTCTTTTTGTTATCTTTTCCCCCACATTAAGATTTTCTCCTGTAGAGGCAGTTTACAAACACAAATTGCACAATGACAAACATCTAGACCCGATACAATTTGTAGGTCATACAAATACTTGTTCCGTGCGGGATTTGAACCCCGACCCCTAGCACAGCAACTCATTGCTAAGCCACTGCGCCATGGAGCTGTCAAAGTCAGGTTGCTAGTAATAAATAAAAAATATATTTCTTAGTAACCGGCACGTCTTAAAATGCATGCATAATCAATAAATCACCATAAGAGGTAATATTCCAATAAAAGAATAGTAGCAGAATTATTGTAAGTGAATGTAAGTCAAGCATAAAGGAAGAATAATAGAGATTTACAACTAATTTTACGGAGTTATTAGCCTACTTCAAAACGGACTTCGACTGACCGAAAGGATTGCACGCCTCATAACACGAAGCGGCAGTTATTAAGTGGTGTTTTACTCTCGACAGGGCAAGGTCAAGAAGTTTTGTGTTCTTAAAAGATCTCCATTATACCCATAATGCACTTATACGATAATATGAGTAGCCATGTATCAACAAACCCCTTTAATAAATCCATCTTATATTTTCTACAAAATAATTTTATTAGGTCGTAGAAAAAGTTTTATCCTATTTTATATACAAATTCAAGACATTTATTTAAAGTTTTACTACATTTAATTATAATATATATGTACCATTTTGTTTGATAACTTGTTGCCATTTTGTATTTAGTGACATAATCCCGTTGCAGCAGACATCTTGGGGTTGATGTTAACCTTATACTACACCAATAATTTTGAAGAGACTGAAACAGGTGAAAATCTGAGGGTGCAGGGTCAGGATTATATGATGGATGCATTAACACTTCCCAACCAAGCTCCCTCAATTTTTGCTAAGTCGCAAAAGATGTGTGTGGTCTGGTGTTATCATAATGAAAGACCACTCCTTTTCTGTTGATCAATTCCGGCCGGTTTTTGTCTATTCCGTGCTATTACATACTGGTCCGTGCCAAATTTAGCAAAATTCGATCACTTCTATTAGAAGTCGATGATTGGTATTTCGCATAGATATAATATACTAGAACATGTGAATATATATGGCTAGAAACACCTACTATTTTTATATCGGGCGTGTCTTCTGGTGTATCCATAAGAAAGGTAAATTGTCTTGGAGTCAAAATGTATTATTATTATTTACATTTTACTCTTTACATTCATTCATAATTAAAGTTAATTTAATTTCAACAAAGTGATGATGAATTTCATAGACTTCTATCATTTTACGGTATAATGTTTATTTGAGTTGTTTTATTCATATCATTTAATATTGATTGGCACCATAAAATAGATGTAGATACTTTTTTACGTTCGAGTAGGCTTTAAAATTTCATAAACGCATTTCTATAATGATGTATACCACACATGGAATAAAATTTTTCTTACGCATTTAATCACGTTTAATTTTATCTTTTTTTTGCGTGGTATCACATCTACCTAGTAATTAATTACACATCCAACGATGCCACGAACGAATTTTCAATTATTTAAATTTTACATCGTGTAGTCAGTGGCATTCTATTATTTAATTTTATCAGTAACTTACCATTTTAGTTTATTTAGAAGTAAGTAGATGGTGCTTTTATTAGATGAAATAATAAAAACCAAAACTGTACTATTTAATAATATCAGCGATAGAAGCGAACATTTATTTATTATATCAGTAAGGCATAAAGTGATGTCAATTCTGTTAAAAGTTCTCTTTCAACGATTTAATGATATCGTCAAATGACCATAACATGAAATAGCATCGTTGTATTAATTTCTTCAAACGATTTCTATTCATTGATTTGGTCAAGCTATATCATGACATGGTCAACAAACTTCACGAAATGATAGACTACTTTATGATATATGATCAATTCAACGATCTAGCCACGACATTTACAAAAATCTTTTTAATAAAACTGTAATGATAATGAAAATTTTGCAATAATCTCAGACAAACCAGTTTTATTTAGTTTACATATAGATTAGTAATTGAAATAAAAACCTTATCAATTTTCATATTTTTGATAGACGTCACTATTATCTACTGAAATTATTACTTTTAAAATAAAATAACAAAAATACTAAAAATTAAACGTAAGAATTTTAAATAATTTTAAAA